GCACGGCTGCTTAGCACTAAACATCTCTGGATACATCTCCGTTTGTGAGGAAAGACAGGTCCCAGCTCGGTTTCCTTCCTTGGCAGGTTCTGAGCTATTTTAGATATACACAAAAATGAAAAGTAAGCTTTTGGTGTTGTCAAAAAAACATTTGCCTCTTTCAGGTGTGCTGGCTCTGTTACATTAATTGCTTCCTTCTCCACGCTTTATTTTAAGGTGAGCTTTAACTGATTTCTAACTGTAATCACAATTATCATGTGTTATCCTGATTAATGGAGGGCTTGATTAACACATAAAAAGGTGCTACTGTTTTCATTTGAGGAAGAAGAGATGAAAGATGTTTTTAAGCCATGGCTGAGGCAATAATTTCACTGGAGAATGCGGTGCTAATACAAGGCAATTAATCATCTATTTTGGTTAATTTACAATAATAAATTATTATTCATAGCACAGAATGCGATTGTGTAGATTAAATTTAAGGCTGCGGGATATACTTGGCTTTACGTACTACATCATTTAGCTTTAGTGTGCTTTACACAGCACTTTGGGTAGCAAAGCATGTTTATGCTCCAGCAAAACAGAGGCAGCAAGAGGCATTACTCATCTGAGGCAACAAGCAGAGCGAAGAACACAGAAGCCGACACCTCCGTTCCCTCTCTCATGGCCCAGATGCTGTGCTAACTGAAAGCAGATAATCCTTGACCCACTTACTCCTGTCCCTCATGAAGCAATTCATCCCAGTGCTCAGCTCTAGCACTGGCAAAGTTTCCCAGTATCTGACAGAAATCTCAGTCGCTGCTGCCAAAGGCTCTCGCTGTACTCTAGCCAGCACAAATTGCAGTGTATGCTCCCCTCTCCCTACTGCCTTTTATTTATCTGCCCAGTCTCTAGACTAAGCAACTCCAATATGAGTGGTACTGCATGAAAATCTCTTCAGTACTCTCTGCCACATAGCAAACAGAACCGGTATTTAGTGAGATCCTTTGGCTGCTGGATCCCTGGTTTGACTTTCAGCAGGGCAACAGTGACAAAAGCTATCAGATCACAGCAACTCTGAAGTGACAGTCACCGCTCTTTCTGTGGGATCTGTGCCAATAACCTTGGTGATAGAAGGGTCTAAGGCTCTGTTCCTGACCCTCTCAGCTAAGTTGTCTGCAGTTAGTAGCAGGGAGTCGGATAGTAACTGGGAAGCACAAACAAGCGTCAGTAATGAAGGCGTTTAGCAAGTTCAACACTGGGCAGGAAGAGGCACTGACGTCTCACCGCAATCTTGAAAAACCCACCAAGGTCACGGTGTCAGCCAAGGGGTTCGATCTGTTTTTCAGAGCTTATGCTATATGATAGACCTGTATTACTTGGAGATTCACCATTACTTGTATTTATTTGTAGTGCCGCCCCCTTTACTGACCACAATTATTTTAAACCCAGCATTTTCTAAAGATAAAATTTTAGAGTTGATCGTGGGAGAGTTCTTACTTATTTTCTTCCTCGTAAACATGAACTCAGAGATGAAAGGCAAAGGAAAAACAGCTCAAAGCCTTAATTATAAGGCAGCTGACTTTCAGAGGGCTAAAATTACAATAGCTCTACACATCAAAAAGCCATGAAACAGCTCCTGCTTCCATCTCACACCTGCATACTTTGTGCCCTAAACCAGGGGTGAGAGAGAAAATCGTAAAGAGCATGCTTAGAGCCTGGTGTCCACTTGTTAGACCTCATCTACTAATCACTCTGCTCTGATTGTTGCCAGAGTCAGGCAAGAGAGAGATAAAGCTTTGTCTTCTAGGGTAAATATTATAGCTAAGCCTGAAGTTCCCAGCCCACAGATCCCGTGCAACCCACTGTGGCCCAGTGTGCAGGTAGAGGTATTAGCTGTCTTTTTCTACCTGCCAATCCACAGAGGTGTGGTGCTCAGGTCGCAGCTAATCCATGCAGGAGATTATGACCTTCACGGGAACAAAAGCACAGACGCAAATATGGAGGTTGCTACTTGTTCAATTTAGTAACTACGCAATTGCTTTATAAATGCCTTCCCGTACACCGCGACATCTTTAGTTCCCTACTCTTTCCGTACATCACGAGATCTTCCGAGCGCCTCCCCTTACACTTCCCCCCACTTCCCCCTCCCCATGCTATATAGCTGTATTTGTAATAGTTGAAGTGCTTGTTGTTCTATTTCTACATACGTAAGGGTTTGTTTGTTTGATTGTTGTTTTTTTTCTTTTGGTTCTTTCCCTGTATTAACTACAGCTGCTGCACGCTTCTCTGTAGTGCATGCCCATATGTTGGGTCTGGGCGAGATGGTTCGTATAAGCAGAAGATCCAAGTAGCCAAAAGCCACAGAAAATCTGCAAAAACTTGAAGAAGAAATAGTTATTTCAGGTTTTATACATGGTGCAGGTATCCATTTAATTAAATCATCTTTTTCCACTGCTGCGTACTCACGCCCAAACACTCTCAGCGACCAGCCCGATTCCCACGCTATTGCTCCCGGTTCCTTGAGCTGAACCAAAGGATAATTTTTTCTCGCCTGGGTTGGCACAAAGTGTTTCCACAGGGGAGTGTGGACTCGTCACCTCTAACAAAATGATTTAAAGCATAAAGGGCGTGGGACAATAAAGTCTGCTGTCAGTCTATGGGTATTGTCCCCTTATGACCTTCCCCCTCCCCAAGCTGTTGTAGTTTGGTTTTTAGGGTGCGATGAGCACGTTCCACTACCGCTTGCCCTTGACTGATGTAAGGAAGGCCGTGCACTAACTTGATGTCCCATAATGCACACCATTCTTTGGTACGTCTAGCGATGAAGCAAGGGCCGTTATCTGTTTTGATCTCTTGTGGCTTCCCTAATAAGGCAATGATGCCCTCCCAATGAACAATAATGTGTCTGGCTGTTTGCGAGCCATCATGGCTAATATTGTAGAACGAATGGTGTCGATGGTTACTATGAGGTATTTATTTGGTTTTAGTAGGTCACATTCTGTTATATCAGTTTGCCATATCTGACGGGGGGAGAGACCCCTTGGATTGACACCTGCTTCCCACAATGGGCCCTTTTTGACAGTAGGGACAAAGCGCCACTATGTTTTTTGCTTGTGACAGAGAAATATGACATGTCTTCACTAAGGCTTTTGCTCTGAGGTGTAGAAAGGCATGTAAATGCTTTGCAGTGCCTAGTGACCATACACCCTGTGCCGCCTGGTCAGCCTTATGATTGCCTTCTACAATCGGACCAGGTAAGGACTGGCGACTGTTCACATGTGTAAGGAAGGCCTGTCCTATGCGTTGTTGTAGAGCGTCATAAAGCAAAGTCGACACTTCCGTCTGCACAAATTCTACTGTTACCATTTTGTGTAGAAGTTTATAAACATATAGAGAGTCTGTAACAACATTAATTGGATTCTCTGTCTCTTGCTGGAGTGCCATCTGGACCGCTTTGGCATCCAACCATTGTACTGATTTATTAGTCTGAGTCCACAACCTCTTTTCCCAACGTCCTTCAGCTTTCAATACGACTGCAGCTGTTTGTGATTGTGATAAGGCATCTGTAAAGTATGTTGTGCCATTAAGAGGGTGCATGACTAGAGGTAGTGTAAGTTGTAGCTGAAGTGTCTTCAGGTGTGTAACCCATTGTAGACCCTTTCCAGTTGTCATGGAGCCTGGAAAGTCGAAGATGGCACATTGTAAATCTTCTGAACACGTAATCATGTCGTCCCACACTTGCTGCTTCCAGGGGATGAGTATTGTGTCAGGTTCCTTCCCAAAGTGTTGAAGGGTCATGTTGCGTAAGCGTCCTATGAGGTCCGCTACAACAGCGACTACGGTAACAAAGGCAGCCTTGTTGGTATTTTGATAAGCCCAGGCTAAAGACACGGGTTTGCCATCCATGCCCTGAAATAGGATGCCTATCGTGCCATGTTCAGAAATAAAGCATCCTGCTATGATTGGCTATTTTGGATCCCAGCACTGCAAAGGTCTCTGTTGTAAAATAGCTTGTATAAGCGTTAAGTTGTCCTGACACTCCTTTATGAGTTTCTTTGGCTCCCACAAGTGTTCTCCTTTTAGTAATTCATAAAAGGGTTGCATAAGTCCCAAGGGAATACAGATAAAGGTGCGAAGCCACTGTAAGGCTCCCACTAATTTTTGAGCATCATGAAGAGTGGCAATGTTTGGAGCAAGAGCTATTGGTTGTAGACTTACGTCATTCCCAGTTAAAGTCACACCCAGATATTGTAACCGCGTACCTCGCTATGGATCTTAGCCTCAAGGTGCTGCCAATAATATGTCATCCACATAACGTATCACATGATGGTCAGGCTTACCTTGTCTCAAAGGTGCGATGGCGTTGACCACATACAGCTGATAAATGACAGGTGAGTTTTTCATACCTTGAGGCAGTACAGTCCATTGCCAACGCTGAGCTGGCTGAGCGAGGTTCACACATGGTACGGTAAAAGCAAATCTCTGTTTGTCGGCGGGATGTAAAGGGATGCTGAAAAAACAATCTTTGATATCAATAATCACAATGGACCAATCTTTCAGTATGGTGGAACCCCAGGGCAATCCAGGTTGTAGGGTAACCATTGCCTGCATCTGTTGATTGACAGCCCTGAGGTCATGGAGTAAGTGCCATTTGGTCTTATCTTTCTTTTAGATAACAAATAGAGGAGTATTCCAAGGGCTTGTAGAGGGTTCCAAATGACCCGCCTGTACTTCTCTTTCCACTAATTGTTGAAGTGCACATAGTTTTTCTGAGTTCAGCGGCCACTTCTCCACCCACATCGGTGAAGAGGTCAACCATGTAAGTTTTAAGGGCAGTATGTGCTCGGCAGTGGCCCCTAACCTGAATTTGTAATGCCGGTTTTCATTTGTTGCATGCAGTCGCAGCCCAGCAAAACCCCCTGGAAATCTGCTAATACTACAGGCTTCAGTATTGCAATTAAGGCCCCTTTTTCCTGGCCTTGGACTTTCGTGGCCTTGTCACGGTGATTGCTTTGTACACTGGTTTTTCTCCTCTGACACCTGTCAAATCCCCCAAATGTAGTTTCCCACTGTCCTGGCCACCATTTCTCGCCCACTACTGTTACATCACCTCCTGAATCAATCATGGCCTGTACTACTATTTCTTCTGTTCTTCCCAGGCGAGGCTGGCTTATCCAAACGGTGACCATGGGCTTGTCGCTACAATCTAAGACCAGAGCCACGGTTCTTGGCTCGGAAGGCCCTCTCGCGGACAACTGCAGGCATATTTGACTGTCACTTGGGGAGTATAGGAAAAGTTGTCTCTGATTTGTGGGGGTTGCCTGTTGGGCATTGGAGGAGGCCTGCCCCCACTCCTGGCTCCTCCCCTCTTGTTTCCCTGCTGTGAATGTTTATACCAACAATCCCGTGCCCAATGACCTGGTTTCCCGCACACCCAACAAGGCCCACTTCTGGAGGGTCGTGGTCCTTGTCGGTTTGCCTGACGAGATCTTTTATGAATGCCACGGAAATTGTTTTTTCTACAGGGTACAGGTCTTTCTGTAAAGTGGATGTTGCCTGGGGCATGTATCATTGCCTCCTTTTGCACCACTTGTCGTAAGAGGGTGGCAACAGGTGTATTCAAAGGAATATCTTTTACAATACTTTTGATTATCAGGTTAGATTGCTGTCTGATACATTCTATTATTACAGCTTCCTTAGCACTATCGGGCAAGTCTGATTCTGTGACCGCGTCGTGGAGTCTGTTGACAAACTGCAAGAACGGTTCATTCTGTCCTTGCTTAACAGAAGTCCCCAAGGGTTCCTTCTTTTCTAATTTAGCTATATCCATGAAAGCCTTTTTACCAGCCTTAGTGGTGGCGATAAATTCTCCAGGCCATAGTTGTAATTGGGCAGGGATTGTAGAAAATGCTCCCCGTCCTGTAAGGCGGTCAAAGGTAGTCCCATGTAAGGGGTGGTGTTGATCTGCGGCCTCTTGTACAAGGGCATTAATACGATCTCCCCATGCTTCCTTCCATAGCAAGAACATAGCTGGTTTTAATATTGCTTTTGCTAATTGTCTTACATCGGCTGGGATTAGTGGTAAGGCTAAGATAGTTTCTAATAATAAAGTCGTTTCCGGATGTCCTAGTCCGTGTTCGCTTACAGTTTTAAATAATGCTTGTACTGCTTTGGCATCAAGCGGATGCCATTCTTGTTGCCCTCTTGGGGTCACCCTGTCTGGGTAAGCACGGATGGCTGCAGGTTCAAGCTTTACGCCTGACATCACACACTCTTTCGCTATGAGGCGCCAATCAGTAGGGGGTTCCGGTAAAAGAGGGGAAGGAGCCCCGCCCATGATCATACCTCTGTTTTGCTGGGCAGTGGCTGCCAGTTCTTGCACTGCTGTTGTCAGGCGCGCTAACAATTTTGTTATCTTTTCCTCTCCTTTTGTCTCCTCCCTTTTTGGCACAGTTCCTTCTTTCCCTATTTGGTTGTATTTTAGACCCTCCCCCTCATTTTCGTCATCTGACTCCGCCTGGGTTTTTTCCTCTCGCCAATGGGCAAGTGGATTGCCCAATTCTTCTGTATGACAAGGTTTAGCAGGCCCTGCCACGTTCCATGGTGCCGCCTCCTCCGAAGGAGCGGGAGCACCTGGGAGCCAATCAAGCAGGGGATCCAGCTGGGGCTGCCGCTTTTTGCTCTCCTGCTCTTTTTGAGCTGCCTCCATTGCCTCTTTCCATTGTTGCCTTTGCTTTCTCCATTTCTCCTCTAAATCAACCGGTTGTACTTCGGTCTCCGCTTTTGGCAGTGCTCCCCAAGGATATACCGGGGGAGGTGTGGGTGGAGAAGGGGGAGTGATATTTCTACCCCCTTCTCTACCCTTGTCAGGGGGTTTGCCTTCTGTGGGCCATGCCTCCCGTAGCTTGATACCTTCCTCCTCAGAGGAACTATCTGCAGGCTCCTCGATCTGCGTAGTCCCTTCCGAGAGACCCTGCAATCCCCTGTGTGCATCTGTACATGCCTCTTGTTCGGCTTGGATGGCTTTCATCATTGCATTTACTTTACCCCAAGCCACCAAATGTTCTGGTTTGCCCAATTTTGCCTGTTCCGTTAATTCAGCTTCTATCTGAGGCCATAGCTCTGGCTTCATGCAATCTATCGGCTTGGCCAGAATGCCAAGCTTTACTAATCTTTGTAGCATCGCTTTTAAAGTCTCCGACTTCATAGAAGTCTGATGCTGTTTTCCCCATATTTTAAGTACCTTAATTGTGGCTTCCATGGCGCGCCGTGGAGTCTCCCGTCCTGCGTGGAGCTCCTTCACCTCCTGCCGTGCACTGCCAACCTTCACGGTCCGTCTTTGGCCTGATCACGTCGGGGTCACCGTTTGTTGAGGTAGAGGTATTAGCTGTCTTTTTCTACCTGCCAACCCACAGAGGTGTGGTGCTCAGGTCGCAGCTAATCCATGCAGGAGATTATGACCTTCACGGGAACAAAAGCACAGACGCCAATATGGAGGTTGCTACTTGTTCAATTTATTAACTGCGCAATTGCTTTATATATGCCTTCCCGTACATCGCGACATCTTTAGTTCCCTATCCTTTCCATACATCACGAGATCTTCCGAGCGCCTCCCCCTACAGCCCAGCAGTAGAGGCTACCACTGAAGCGGTCCAGACCACCCCAAGGAATGGACGACAGCACTGCTCACAGCAGAGGGCTTCCTCAGAGCGAGCCCGCTCGCAGCCCTGGGCACAGTTCAGGCTTCATCCCAGCAGGCCTGAAAAACTATTCCTACTGTCAGCAGCCACATTCCTGAGCCAACGTCAGAAGAGCCTTTCTGACATGCTGCCAGATGCAGAGCAGAGCAATAATGAGGATAAATTATCTTCTCCCTGCTGCTATCATTTCATAGACAGCTTCATTAGCTCAGCTCACCAGTGCAGCCTTGACAGGGCAGCTTAATACTGACTAGTGACTTTTAGGTTTTCCACTACAGTAGCGTTTTGCAGCCTAATCCCTAGTTTAGGCCTACATAGTATGTATTGGTAGGTAACTTCTTTTCCTTTAACAAGGGGTACTTCTGTCAAGTGAAGGAGTTCGGAGGATCAAAAGTATTCACAAATTCAGCACAAATTCATACATAAATGAGGAAAAAAGTGATTACATTGGCCATCATGTCTGTCCCATAAATGATCAAACTGCTTTATTTTCCCTTATTTTGCTTTGGGATGAAAACCACATCAGAGACAAGAGAGAAAAAAAACAAGTTGTATAAATCCCCACAGCTTAGGAAATAAATGGAACCATATTGGGTTTTACTACAGGAAGACACAGCCCTTAGTGTCTGAACTGGTTTTCTTATTTATTCCTATTGGTGCAAAACTGCACAGTTGTACGACTGAGCCAGAGGGCCGAGAAAAGGAATGCCTTCCGTACAGGATTTTCATGGTGACTAAGTCACGACATTATGAGCCAGGAAAATAATCACTGGAAAGGAGCTGATAAGGATATGCACAACTGCCATGTAGAATCGGAGACCTTTATTGCTAATGCTCCACTCTGAGTAATCATATTGACTTGGAGAAGAACAGCAGCTAAGCACAACACTGGGGAGCCACAAGATACCAGAAGAACAGATAGAATTGTTCTGGATCCATTCTCCAGCACAAGAAAGGGATGATCAGTTCTTCCTAGGTGTTTGTCGCGTGTCTGCTGTGCCACGCGCATGTTTGCACTGCGGTGATGGGCAAGGGATGCATCTGAAAAGAATGGGCAGGGAATAATCGAGAAATCTGATTTGACAATGGGCACATCTGCTCAATAGCAGCTTGGAAGCCAGACTTCCTAATCACACTTTTATGGATTGGTACTAGAGTAAAATAAAATCTCAGTTCTGCCTGAACATAGAAATCAAGGCAGGGCCACGGCAGTTTCTTTTTAGCTGTAATGCCTGTTACTACACGTAGCCCTGTCTGGTTTGAGCTAACAGCTCTTCTCAACCAAACTCTTTCCAAGAAGAAAAGAAAGGGTTGTTGAAATAGAAATGTTTGGTCCATTTCAGATTTCTGTGGGGAAATTTGGATATCATCCACATAAAGAAGTAGTATTTGGCTTTGATACATTCCTGTTTTTCCATCTAGTTTTTGCACCCTTCCTACTTTTTATTTTAAAATATTTTAATGTATATTTATAGCTGCTCAATAATACCTCTGCATTTGCTCCGCAATACCGACATTAATTCAACATTTCAGTGAGGCGTCTCAGAAGGGAAGTAACACAGACTTCAGTACTCTAGAACTATTTGAACCTTTTTCATTCCCAGCGCACAGAGAAAGAAACTTTAAAATTTTTATTTCTTATGGAAAACACCCTACCTCGGTACCCTCAGAGAAGGTGGGAAGTCAGTGCTGCAAGGGGATGTGCAATCACAGTGCTGGAGATGCTGCTTATTATAGCCAAGCGGGACACAGCAGAGAACCCACAGTGCAGCAGCAGGGTCATGAGACTGATAAGATGTCACTGAAGCTCTACAAGAAGGGGTTTTCCCCGCCCCGCTCTTTTGGACAGGGTGCAGCTGTAGCTAAGGGGAAATCACTGCACAGAGAAACACGGAAGGGCAACACTAAAACAGGTGGGCTCTAAAAGCACCACCAAGGGCAGCTGAAGGTTATTATTTATATTTTGGAGGTACCTAGACAGACAGCTATGAACCACAATTGCATCACTACCTGCTTTACAAACACCAAAACAAAGCAGCCTTTCCCCACGGCTTTTACAGTCTCGTTTTTGATTTCTTTACCTATAGCCATCTTAGTTTCTGAAGGGCTACATTATGCAAACATCGAGCACTAAAACATTAGAAGAAACTCCTTGAAACAAGGAGATTCGACTTCATATTCATCGAGGGTTTTCTTTAAAAAACAGTAAGTAGGTGAATGGTTCTGTGATTCCGTAGTTCCTGAATGACGCTTTGGATTCTCGTTCTTCAGAGTCTTGCTTAAGTGTGTATTTAAAATATTTGCTCTAAAGTAACTACTCAAAATGTAATTTACTGCTTTTAAATGAAAACTAAGAATTTCAAGGAGTCCGGAAGCCTGAGCTGAGGGACTGTTCACATCCCCCAAAACTAAATTAAAATTAAAACAAGTCTGAAATTAAAAGGCACTTTTAGTGCCACCTTGACATCTTCACTGAGTTGGGTAGAAACACCTTTTTGCTCCCAGTCACAAACATAGCCATTAAAAGTGCAATTTTTTTTCCCCCCCTCCTCCCCAAGAAATAATTGTTTCAGCCTTTGTTTAGCCTTTCTACCATGACCAGTCGGGGCTCCATCCTTCGCATTCTCAGCCTCCAACTTGGACTAGTATCTTGGCACTGCTCGCTTGATTAAGCTTATTCAAATGCTGAAGAATTGTCCTAAGCTCGCGCAGTAGATTGTCATCAGAAAGTTTGGAGAACATTTGGAACATTGCACCAAATTAATAATACTGATAATAAGAGATGGCTGTGGATAAGGATAAAGATAAGGAACAGGCATGTTGCTTAGTCCAGCAAGCAGCAGAGACCTTATCACAACACTGCCCAACAGAACCTGAGAAGCTACAGCCTGACAGGACATTATGGTTATGAGAACCTCACCCTTCATCATTCCCTATGGTTCGAAGTAAAAAGGCATTTTCTGTGTCCCTAAAAACATAGATTAAGAGAGCTGTGTAGACACATAAGCTCTCCAGATAAAACCCTTTTCCATCAGGGCTATAAAGATGTCACTGGACTTTATTTATTTGACTATCTGTTGGAACCAAAGTGATAAACAGTCCTCAGGTCCCTCAAGTCTGCGCTTTCTTGTCTGGTTGCAGAGTTTTTTAATATATCTATATATTTGCATATATTTTCCCTACACTCCAATGTGAGTTATTTCTGAAAGCCCCCCGGGATATCTGAGAGGGACACTGTTATTGTTTAAACCATTTACACTCCGCATCCCCAGTCCTCTTGTTTTCCTCATGATAATCAAGTCAGTGAGTTACAGACCTCAGTGGGAGCGAAAGATATATTTCAGTGCATCAGAGGCTGCACTGTCCATGCCCCTTAGTGAGCTGCGAAAGAAATCACTTCCATTTTTCTGATGGGCGACCTAGATACAAACACAACTGATTTTTGCCTGGCCACACTAGTTTAAATTAAGTCAAGCTCCACTCAGAAAATGCAAGTTCATATTGCAGGGAAAAAAAGAGTGGAACTGCTGAAAACATTTCCAAATACTGCTTTTCAGTTGCAGCTTGTTTTGTGTGTGTGTGTGTTTGTGTGTCTGCTGCTGCTGTGGGCTTTATGAAGACAAGTCAACAATTTTGAGGGAAAAGGGACTATCAGACCATCTGAACTGACCTCCCATCTAACACAGGGCAGACAATTCCTTCTAGTTCCTTCTTTATTGAACTTGACAAATTGTGCTGGACCAGAGCAGATCTCCCTGCAAGGCATCTAGGTCTCAAAGTGATGAGTTCAAAAGATCACTTTCCTCTGGCAGTTTTGTTTAAATCATTTGCCACCCTCACTGCCTGTGTTAATAACAAAATAAGTAATAAAACTTTATATTCTCATATTTCCTTCCTTTCGAAGGGGTTCAAGGTCCTCTGCAGAGATGAATATATGAAGCAGCAGTCTCCTTCTCACTTAGGCAGCAGATACAAGCTCTTCCTGTTGATGGCAACAATAAGAGGTTGCAGTGGAAAAGCTGCCTGTGTTTGATGGACACTGGTGGCTGGAATCCTTCATGTGTATGAAACTATTGTTATTAAGCAGTCTTTAAGATAGCACCCCAGAATACACAGCATTAGGAATTCACTAACAATATCACAGCATGAGCTTGTTAAACTCAACTGAATCCTAATTATGAAATTGTAAAGAGGAAGGGTGATTGCTCCAAAGATAAAAAGCTTTCAAGGGGATGCAAAAAAGTTAACACTACACAGAACTGCTTTTCCTTTCATCTTCTTCCCTTTAAATTAGTTTGCTTTCTCCGTATCAAAGTGTAGCAGCTTCACAGTTCCGGCCTCTTCTCAAACGCAGCTGAATTGGAAGGAGAAGAATACTAGAGTTTGCTCTTCTAATTGCTCTGCCTTCCAAGGAAAATGTCACTGGCTAGAGCAGGTTTTTTATTGCTACATCTGTGTTTCTCAGCAAGCATGAAAGTAGGCTAGATCATCATGGCATGCCACCAGGATGGGAGACAGGGGATCAGTTCAAACTAACTCATCCAAGTGGGATCCCTGCTCAATTCTTGTTCATTGTCTTCCCACCACTAAGCAGAGTGCACAAGAAAGGGCTATGCTGCTGCGAGTACCACCCCAGCAAGTAGTGTTCTATCAGTCCTCTTGTTCCCCTGAAACTAGAGACAAAACCTCTTCACCTGTCAAGTATCTGTCAGCTGACTTCTTGTCTCGTAATAGGTTTTGAAGGAGTGACACCCCTTATCT